CTAGATGGATAAACTCTGCAATCCCTCCAACTCTGATTCCACCATGATCCTCAATGTTTCCAGGAGCACTTTTTCTTTGGAATATGAACAGGTGTTCAGGAGAAAAAAAGGTTGATGACCAATTTAATATGAGAAATTTTTGGCTGAAGAGTTAAAAACCTTTACTCCAAGAGTTTTCAGAGTCTCCTAGACATGAAAGTGGATTGTGGGTCTTCATGACGGGACATTATATGCAGCATTCCCCATAGTAAGTTAGTCACAGAGAAGTTTTTTTCACAAAGCACAACCAGGAAATAGTTTATTATTAAGTTTATTCCTTGAGAATTGCTGTCTTTAAATTCTCCAAAGAATGTGGATACTGCTGTCAGACAGCACTGAGTTCCTAATCTGGCTGTTTCCTAGGTGACCTTGGACATGTTACTTTACCTTCATTAACTGTAAAATGAGAGGAAGAATATGCACCTCTCAGGATAGTTTTGAAGGTTACATATTTAAAAGCATATAGAAAATACAGTGTACTGGCTGATACATTGAAGGTTTTCAGTGAATGGTAGTTGTGATTAAAGCCCAGAGAGGGAAAGCAGCTTTGCCAAGCTCACACAGGAAATTAGTGACTATGCTAGCCTGTGAATCTTGGGCCGTTCTGGTTTGCTTCACTTCTCTTTAGTAAACAACAGCCTATAAGAAATCCAGTTCATCAGGGGAGGCGGGAAGCCTCCCCAAGTTTGATGTGATTTTATAGATCAAGGCAATTTTAAATAGGAGACCAGTATTTCCTTCTCTCCGTCTCCCCCTTGTCTTCAGTTCTAGCCAAAGGAAGCAACAACCTCAGTGGGGCCTGGCGGCCTCCCCTTCTCCCCTGCCAGGGCTCCAGGGCTGGTTCCTGTTCCTGCCAGTGCTGGGAGCCCCCAGCAGGTGGGCTGTCCTTATCAGCCGGCTCCAGGCCAGAGGAGGAATCCTCTGGTCACATGTGGCTCTCTGGAGCGCCAAGACCTTGTAAATAAACACAGCTCACACAGAAGGAGGGGGAGGGTCAAGGGGAAAGAATCCTTGACATTTTGGTGACTGGGCCAGGATTAAAGGCCAGTAGACACAGCCCTTATTGGCCATTTCTGCGAGGAATCGCAAAGCCTCCCAGGTTCCCTGCATGACAAGGCTGCCTTTGAATAGCCCAGAGCTGGGGCATTCCCAATGTGCTGCTGGCTTGATCCAGGCCTAATCCCTCGCCCAGGACTGACCTTTCACAGTTTACAGAGCACTTTATCTCCTGGCTCGGTGGAGCCTCACAGAGCCCGCCTGACAGAAAGGAGGTTTATTCCCACCCCCAATTTACAGATAAGGAGACTGAGCCTCCCAGAGTAACTGACTGACTCCTGGCTACACAGCTAGAAGTGGTTGAATCTGGACTGAAAGCCAAGTATATGCTGGTGCCAAATCCAGAGGTGTGCCCATCACACCGCCACCGGCTCCACCGTGGGACCCCTTTTGCCCACAGTGAGCTCCACACCCTGGGAGAGCCGCCGTTCTGGTCCGGGGACTTCCACAATCCAGTGACAAGTGAGGGTCCAAAAGGACGAATCTCAACAGAATTGTGCTCGACAAAAGAGGCCAATTAAAAAAGAGTACACACTGTGCTATTTCATTTATAGGAAACTCTAGAAAATGAAAGCAGATCTACGGTGACAGAAAGCAGATCGATGGTTGTTTGGGGAAGGAAGGCAGGGGGAAAAGATTCAAAGGGGCATGAGGAAAGCTTTGGGGTGATGGATGGTGGTGATGTTTTCGCAGGTCTGAACGTATCTAACTATACTTCAAATCCGTGTGGACTTCTTGTATGCCAATTGTGGCTCCATAAAGCCATTAAAAAAGAGGAAAATGGGGGAAGACTGAAGGAAGTTAGCTGGTGTATAATTCAATAGAATGTCTTAAAACGTCTTAAAACGGGGACACTAAGTACCATGGGCACATGAGGGAAGGACGGAGAGATCCATTCTCAGACAGGAAAGATCAGGCAAGAGGTCTTGGGACAGGGTTTTGACAAGGCTTGAGATAGGTATCAGGTCAAGAAAGATTAAGGTGGAAGATGCAAGTACAGTTTATTTGGACATTAGGGAGTGGAGTATTACACGCACAACCCCCCTTTTCTTCCCAATTCTTGGAGGACTGAAGTTAAAACTAACAGCTACGATCCTCTCTTTTCCTCAGAAATTCAGACACACGCCCTACTTGGCAGGCAGCTGGTTTTGCTAATAAGATTCCTGCCCTTCTCCCTCCCTCTCTGCACAGCTCATCCCTTTGGGCTGTGCTGGGCCCCTGCCCTCTCAGATTTCCTCTTTGAACTGAACTGCCAAATACTTGCTGGCTATATCCCTGACAACCGTAGCTCCAGGGCCTGGGTACCCACATTTCAGCCTTTTCCAAATCTCACAGTAAGAAGGAGCTTTAGGGGGAATTTGTGTGTGGGGTGTGATTGGATTCTAGGTCCAAAATAAAAATATCTTCTTACCCTTTCTCTTCCATACCTTTCTGCTTAGTAATTGACATGTGGCCATTGGAGAATTCTGAATAATGAGTATATCAGAATATATTGCGATAGAGCAGAAGGAAATTCAAGAATTGTTACAGTGTTGTCCACTGATTAATTGGCCAATTTGCTCCAAAAATAACTCTGATTACTGCTTTTACAGTTTGCAAAACATTAATTTGGGTTTGGACGATCCCATTATTCATGGCTTTACATAAGGGAATATTCCAATGACATACGAAACCCACATATGAAACTGTGGGTTAGCTCTTGCTGTTCAATTTCCTTGGCATGTTTGTTGATTTTAAACTGCCTCCCTTCGAAAGTTTCCTTATTAATTAAATAAACCGGTCAGCCACATTCCCTGCATCTAACTCAATACTCAAGTGTAAGCTTAGTTCTGGAGTTGCCTTTCTAACCTTGGCTTAAGGGACATTCATTAGTCACTAGGAGCAAAATGTGGCATTTGAACAGCTGTTGTGGATAGTCAGAGTCCGAGGCCTACAGGTTTGGAGAAGGTGGGGGTGGGGAGAGGGAACCAATGTTTACTGCAAACTCACCCTGTGACAGGCACTGGACTCTTTACACAGAGTATCTCTTTTAATTCTCTGAACAGCCCATTAGTGTGTTCTGCCTCCTCTAGGCATAGCAAGTTAAGAATTTGTCAAATACCACACAGTTCATAAGGGGAGGCACTGGAACTTAAACCCGAACAATGACCCTAGAGTTTCTACTCTTGAACACTCTCCTATGTGTACATTGTTTAACCCTCCCAACCCCAAGATATAGATGCCATTATTATCAGATCTATTTTCTGGATGAGAAACCAGAGGCTCGGAAAAGTAATTTTCCCAACATAAACTAAACACAGACCCTGAATTTAATCTGTGATGCTGGGCAAGTCAATTCTCTCACCCCTCCACCATCCATCCATGAATTCAACAGATAATGCCAAGTGCTTACTCTGTCTTGCCCCTAGAGATGAAAAGACATATAAAAATCTGGTCCCTGCTCTTTAAGAACTCATAGTCTAGTGAAGAAGGCAAACACACACCAATAAGAAAAATGGTTGCACAATGAGAGGTGCTTAAAAAGGTATATATAAAGAGCTACAGGAGCATAGAGGAAAGAGCATCAGATTTTTTGGTGGAATAAAGCAAGGAAGGCCTAGAGAGGAGGGGACACTGGACTAATAATTACATGCCCTCCAGGCAGGGAAAAAGGGTGGGTATTCCAGGCAGCGAGAGCATTAATGGGAAAAAAACAATGCAGTATAACAGGTCACATATTGAGTGCCTAACACCAGTTTTCAGTGTCATCTCTCAAATTCCCATGACGATTCTGTGCAGTAGGTATTATTCAGAGCAGTTTGTAGAAGAGGAGACACAGGCACAAAGAGGTCAAGCAGCTCGCCTATGGTTACACAGCAGTCTTGGGCAGCCTGGATTCAGAGCCCACACTCTTAGCCCCTCTGCTCTGAGTGTCTGAGGGCACCTGCCACGAGTTCTTCATGGGTGGGACAGGCAATGAGATTGGCTGCATAGGCAGGGATCGGGTCTATAGGGTCTTCCTGGTTGCTGGCTTTAGGCCTCTTTCTTCATGAGGCCTTAGATGTTTTTGATCTAAGGCCCCTGGACCACTTGGGATCCAGAGAAGTAATAATACTGTGGTGTATGCATATGTGCTTGCCGTGTTGAGGAGGGACATCTACCTTTTTCTGCAGTAGGCCATATAGGAGAATGACACCTCATGTTTCTTTGCTCTTGACAGAAACCATCTCTGCTCACTGTAGGAAAGCTGGGTGTCTATGCCCAGCTGGATTATCTTGGTTTAAATATCAGTATTTGAATTCTTGTTCGCTGTCTGCATTCCCTTGCCAGACTGGGAAACCCATGGGGACAGAACCCTTGTCCATATTCTTCTCTTCCAGACCCCCAGGATCTAGCACAGTGCCTGGCACACAGTAGGTACTCAATAAATACTTGTTGAATGAGCTTTGGGTCTTTGATTAATAATTTATTTAGAGAGTAAATGAATTAATTAATTGTGAGTTAATAAATCTAGTTTGGCCAGCAAAATATTTCACAGCATGCAGTCAGTGGGGTGGGAGGGATACTAGAAGCGTCTTTGAAGAGGAGAACCGCAAGGACTCCTTGGCCTAGAACAGTGGTTTACAAAGTAAGCTGTGCTTTTAAGAGCACTTGCCTTCAGGGCTTTTGATTCCTCTGGCCTGAGATGGTGCTTGAGTTTGCCCAGTGATTCTGAAGTCACCAGATCAGTATTTGGGGGTGGCAAATTTGGGTCCCTTCCTATTCCAATGTTTTCTTTTTCCATCTCATTCAACTTGTGCTTGACAACTTTGAATGATGGGAGTTCATTACCTCACAAGGCAGGCTGCCCGACCCGTTGTGACGACAATGATACCGACACACATACAGTCACCATATATATAAATATATCAACATAGTGAGAGAAAGAGAACGACACTTCTCAGGTGCCAGTCGCCGGACATTCGTCCCTGAATCCAAACGCTAGGCATTCTTCACCTGCATTTTATTTACAATGACAGAAACCGCACCTTGCTGAGTGTCCCAGAGCCGAGTGGGCGCGGGGCAGGGCCGGGAACCAGCGGTCACGTCCCGCGCCGCAGGGCCTCCCCGCCCAGCCCACGTGCTCCGGGCGGCGAGCCGGGTCCCCGCGGGGCGGCGCGCCACGTCAGCGCCCGCCCGCCCGCCCGCGCCCCGCCCAGCCCGCGCGCCGCCCCATACAAGGCAACCCCGGGCAGGAGCCCGCGGGGCTGGCGCGGCTGGCGGCCGCCGGTTTCAGTTTCTGAAGAGTCTGGCCCTGAACAAACACCGGCGGGGAGGCGGGTGCTGGGAGACTTCCCGACAGATAGCAGGTTAACTCGCTGCTGCCCGGAGCCGCCCGCGTGGGAACAGGCCGGCACCGCGCGGCGTGGGCTGTCCCCGCCGCTGGGGCAGCCTCCCTGCGGGCCGGCGCGGCGGGCGGGGCGGGCAGGCGCGGGGCCGCCGGCCCCCGACCCGCGCTCGGGCCTCCGCCCGCTCCCTCCGCTAGCGGACGGGTTAGCGAGCCTCCCGGAAAATGTTTGTTTTCTTTCTGACAAAGGGCGGAGGGACCTGGCCAAGACCAGCATGAACTCCAAACACAGGGCATTCTCCCCATCGGGCGTTTCTCTGCACGGGGAGACCTGGGTCTGCATGCCAGTCCCCGCCGGTGACCTTTGTGCACATTTCTCAAATTCTCTCAGGCTCATGATCCTCATCTATAAAATGGGGGATAATGATACCTATCTTTAAGCTGTGTTGCTAGGATTAGATTAGATAAATACAGATTATACGTATTAAGCACTTAGTGCCCTCAATGGCAATTAACATTATTATTAATTATATTGTTATGATGAGTGACTAATAATGACACTCAAGATTATTAATGCTATTGTGTCAAAAATATGCTCAATTAAAATTTTTTACTGAGAGAAATAGTTTTATGAGTGGTAAATAAAGAGAGAGGATTAACACTGGATCAGGAAGTATATACACATTATCTCATTTAATACTCCAACAGCTCCATAAGCCAGGCGTTACTGCCCCCATTCTGCAGATGAGGAAGTTGAGGCTCCTGGAGGTTACGTAACTTGCCCACTTCGCACGCTGAGCGTCTAGAGTCCTGGCCTCCCTGGCTCACCGACTCTTTGACTGTGCCCCCTGTCTACCTGTCTACTTCAGCAGAAAGGCCACCATCTACACAGAACGTCTTCCTTCCTTCCCCGGCTCTCATCAAAACCAGGAGGAACACTAGTCAGCTCTAGAAACCCGGTTAAACTCACCTCCTCCAGGCAGCTTTCCTGATCCTCTCCCTCCTCCCCCTGTGGCACTAACCTTCCCTTCCTTCCTCCTCCTGGCGCCTGTAGCATGTGGCTGCACACATTTGTTGCGGGCTCTGTGTGCCTGTCTAAGGCGGAGGCCACATGGCTGTTCACTTTCGGAGGGTCAGTATGGTGTTGGGGTTAAGTACAGGAGTTTAGGGGCCCAGCTATCCGGGGTCAAAACTTGGCTTTCTTACTTACTGGTGGGGAGGCTTGACTAAGTGACTTCACCTTTGGCTGCCTCACTTCTCCCACAGCTCTGGGTTGTCACCTTCATTCACTCACAGGTCCTCTTTGACTTTTTCTCTCTCTAGGCATTGGGTCTCCTTATCACCAACCAAAGATAGAGGACTCCACCATTGTATTCTATGTTATCTGCTTATAAGTCCCGGGCATAGTAGGTTCTTAACAAGAGGTTGGGGAGTGAATTATTTTGGGAAAAAAACTTCCCCCAAGAGGGTCTTGTTAGGCTTTATTTTACTTTTAGTCATCAAAAGAATCAAAAGTTTTGTAAGAACTTGTGAGGTCTTTATACCTGGGTACTGAAAGGGGATGAGAAATATAAATGCCTTCAAAAGGGAAGTTAAGAAATATTTAGGTAAGTGATAAGAAGTGCCCAAACATATGTTTTGTTGTTGTTGTTAAATGTCAAAGCTTTATCAATCCTCTTTGATAATTCTTTAAATTCAAAATGTTAACCGTAAATCTGTTTGTACTAACAAGAATCAGACATCAGACTTTTTTCTGTTTCTATTCTTCTGTATCCTTCTTTAACAAGTATATATTACTTTTTACTTTAACAACTATGTCGTTTCTTTAATAAGTATGTATTCCTTTTTAGCTAGAAAAGTTTTTGTTTAAAAAGATACAATTATTGAAACAAAAAAAGTCAATTTTCTAAGAGCTTTGAGAGATCATTTAGATAAACCCTTTTATATTCCAAAGAGTGTGTGCTGGGCGGGGAGTAGGGGTGGGGCATGAAAAACTAAAACTAACAGGGGCCCAAAGAATTTAAGTGATTCAACAGAAGCCTCACAGCCAATATGCAGCAAAGTGGATATTTGAACCCCGTTCCCTGAATCCATGTCTCTTGATCCCTGCACAAAGCTCTTCTAATTCCTTTGGTCTGGCAAATGGCGTTTGAGCAGAGATGCCTTTGTTATCCCTGGAGTTAGACAGTGAGCTCCATTCCTCAACTAGGATTATTTCGATGAAGCTAAACTATGCCCAGACCCAAATTCAAAGGTGTCAAGGAGAAAACTTATGCATGATTAAGGGTTTATGTCATGGGCTTTGGAGTCAGGCAAGCTGCGAGTTTAGATCCCGATTCTCCTCTTACTTCCTGAGAGACCTTGGTCAGGTTACTGAACCTCTCTGAGGCTTGGTTTCCCCATCTTTCAAATGGGCAGAGCAATATGTTTCTTGTAGGATTTGTTGAGGTTTCAGTGAAATAGCATATGGAAAGCACTCACTAGTTTTTAGAAGTATTAAACGTCATTACTAGTACTACTTTGCTACCCAGGCTTGTAATGAAGGAGAGCGTGTCAATGTCAGATAGGTGCTATGCAGACAGTTCTTTCTGCCCTAATACTCTGGTGATCTGGTGCCAATCCCACAAGCAGCTTGACTTAAGAAACCTGTTTTCTGAGGTGGTGGTGAGTGAAATTGAGATCATATATAAAGGAGCCTGCATAACTGGTCCCCCTGTCACCAGGCACTTTCCTGTTTCCTAGACTCCTTGATGTTACCTTTTTGGAGTTTTTTGTTTGATTGTTTTGTATTTTTGGTTTTTTTTGGTTGTGCTTTGCAAACTTCCTGGTGGGTAGCTTTAGCCATCCTTCCTAGCAGTTTGCAAGAGTGTGCTATGACACTGGAAATCGTAAAAAATGTCCTAATGTGTCAGAAAATGAGAAAAAGAAGGAAGATGGCTCTTTATGTACATTCACTTGAAATACTGGTTACTAGTTCTTCCTTCTTTCATCTCTAATAGTGATTTTCTTTTCTTCTTCTTTTACCTCCACAGACTTCTGTTTACCACTGAAAAGAAAAGTGTGATATCCTGGCATCTGTAAAGAAAGGAAAAGCACTTAGTAAAGCATTCACCTCTTCATTTGACATATATTATTAAATACCTCCTGCATTCTGTCCTGTGCTAGGCATAGACATATAAACATGCAGGTTACATAAACTGGTTACGGAACATGAACTCTGATAGACCTGGGTTCAAACCTCTGTTTCTTTAGTTCCTATAGATTTGAACTTGGGCAGTTTAGCTACTTATCTCTCTGAACCAGCTCCTTCTATCAAATTCCGTATCTTAGCCATGGCAAGACCATTGGCTTGCTGTCCCAGTTCAGAAGCCTCAGAAAGATTTTTTTCTCCTCCTTAACCCTCTACCTAATGTTCAGTCATCCAGTGATGCACGATTTCACTCCTAAATATCTCTTGAATGTATCTTCACCTTCTCCAATTTATTTAACAGATATTAATTGAGAGCCTGCTCTGTCCCAGGCCCTCTGCTGGCACAGGAATGCCTGTCCCCAAAGAGCTCCCTAACTGGTCAGGTGCAACCATAAACACACAATTTCCCAACAACAAATGGGTGTAACGCTAATAAAAGCTTAATTTTATTGCATGCTTAATCGCTACCACTGTTCTAAGTGCTTATACACATCAAATCACTTAATCATCATAATAACCCTAAGAGATAGGTACTGTTACTATCTTTACTTCATAGATAAGGAAACTGAGGCATAGAGTGAATAAGCAATTTTTGAAAAGTCACACTAATATTATAGTAATGGAGGCAGGATGCAGGGACTGAACAGGCCAGCTTAAAAGCTGTTGCTATTAAGCACTAACTATTAACTCTGTCTCTGCTTTGAGGGCCTGGGAGAGAGCTTCTGGGGATGCCAGAGAAGGAGCTTCTAACCAGATTGGAGGTCCTTCCTTGAGCTGCTATCTATGCTGAGCCTTAAAATGTGAGTAGGATTTTGCCAGAGCAATCTTCCCATTCCCCCTGCCCCACCCCCACGCCCCAGCCATGTGTGCTCTCTCCTTGACCAACTTCTTCACTGGCCCCACTCTTTTTGTTATTTGAGATTGCCTTGTGTCACTGGTTACACTCTTGTTCCGCCATTCTTCCTACCTGTGGCACAGGTGAGCTTTCTAATCAAGTCTGATCATATTATTAATCTTTGGCTTAACATTTTAGAATGTCCTTCCATTCCGTGTATCCACAGGATAAAGTCGTACCTCCTCAGCATGATCGCAAGGCCTCTGCAGTGTGGCCCTGCCTAATTCCCAGCCTTGCCCCCAGCCCTGCCTGCCTGCCGGCAGCCACACTGAGGCTCACATGCTCATGTCTGTCTCCATTGGTATCAGATCCCACCCCTCTCAGCGCCTATGGATCCTTCCACATGTGTCTTCTTTCTGGGATGCCTTCCGGGATCCACAGGCAAAGTGAAGTACTCTCAGTAATGCACCCACCACACCACAGATACTTGTATTTTAGCTCTTCTCCTACCAAATTGGAATAGTTGACTTTTGAATCTGTCTCTGTCCTTATACAGTGAGCCCCTTGGGGAGTATTTCCCTGCTCCTAATAGGGCCTGGCACCTAGTGAACTCTTTAAATAAATGAATGAATAAATGGGTAAGTAAATAAATGAATGAGTATTAAGAACAAGGACCAGTCTTTATGTCTTTTTATTTGTTGTAACTCACAACACAGTGCTAGGGACATTTAGCATCCATTGAAATATTGATTTTCCTCTTATACACCTATGGGGTATAATCATGCCCCCAGCAGGACTGTGAAAGGGTAAATACCATCTATAAGATCAAAACCATATGAGAAATGCACTGGACAAGTGGTTGTTAGAAGATCTGGGATTATTGTCCAGGCCCTGTCACCAACTAGCTGTGTGATTTTGGGTAAGACATTAACCTCTCTGAGCCTGCATTTTCTCAGCTATAATACCACTGTGAAAAGTCCTGAAGGGCATGGGTTCTGAAGTGCTGAATGGGCCAGAGGTGTCACTGGCATGATTCGTCCAGCTAATCTCCAAGTGTCAGTCTAAGCTGGGTATACTCAGTGCTACTGCAAGCCATGGGGCAAGCCTTTCCCACCCTTTCTCCTCTTCTTGGCCTGAGTCCAGGAAGATTTCCATCTGTACCTTGTCTGCATGCCAGACTCTGAACCTAGGGTTTGGAAAAACAGGCAAGTTATATTCGTCCAGGTGTATCCTGTCTATATACTGAGCTGTAAGGCCAAGTTTGTTCTCAGAATAAAGTAAATGCACACGTGTGTGTGTGTGTGTGTGTGTGTGTGTGTGTGTGTGTGTGTGTGAGCTTTCATTAGCAGGGCAGGGTTCAGCATAATAAAGCCAGCTGTGGAATAGTGGTGAGAGCTCTGAATTTGGCATCATTTGGGTCTTAATTTCACCATTATCATTTTTGTGGCCAATAGGTGACTTCGGTTATATTCTTAACCTCTACAGCCTCCCTCCCTCGTCTCTAAAATGAGGCAATGCATTTGAAATAGACTCACTGTAAAAATTAAGTGAAATAAGGAATGTAAGACCGTTAGCACAGTGCCTTGTGTGTGGTACGTACTACATAGATGTTTGCTTATTGATTTTTATTTTTATTAATAATAACTATATCATTTTCTAAGCACTGTCTATGCATTAGGCTTTATGCTAAGCATTTTATATGTATTATATAGTTTAAATCTCATGACAACCTTAAAAGATAGATACAGTTGATTCTTGAACAATGTGGGTTTGAACTGCATGGGTCTACATATGTGGATTTTCTTCTGCCTCTGCCACCCCTGAAAGAGTAAGACTAACCCCTCCTCTGCCTCCTCTTCCTCAGCCTACTCAGTGTGAAGATGAAGACCTTTATGATAATCCACTTCTACTTAATAGACAGTAAATATATTTTCTTTGCCTTATGATTTCCTTGATACCATTTTCTTCTCTCTAGCTTACTGTATTGTAAGAATACAGTGTATAACACATATAACAAACAAAATAATGTGTTAATCAACTGCTTGTGTTATTGATAAGGCTTTCAGTTAATAGCAGGCTCTTAGTAGTCGAGTTTTTAAGGAGTCAAACATCATGTGTGTATTTTCGACTGTGTGTGAAGCCATTGCCCCTAACCCCTGTGTTGTTCAAGGTCTAACTGTGTTGTTATGCCATTTTATAGGCTAGAAAACGGACACTTTAATAGGATAAACAGCTACCATAAGTTCAGAATAAAGCTGGTAATTAGAAGAACTATGCATGTCTCTATATCCTAAAGTGATGCTTTGGGGACTTCCAGTGCAAATATGTCTGTGTAAGTCCACATTTTCCTCCTTATCCTACAGGAAATTGTACTAAAGCCACAATAAGAATGGGGGTGGGGAAGAGGAAGACTCACATAATAGAAGTATAAGCTTAATTACGTAAGTATTTATGCAAACATACACACTAAGAAAGATTTTATTGACTGACATTGGTTTGTTTAGAAGAGAAGGAAGACAAGCACACTAATTGTCATCACTTATAATAATGAACTAATAGATACTGTCTAAAAAAGTAGCGGGAACTAAGGATATTATATAAAGATATAAACTGGTAATCACTAGAACAGAAATACAAGCTATTCTAAATAGCAGGAAAACTACAAACAAAAACAACAGATTAGAACAGTGGATGAAGGGAATGACATAACAGACGTAATGCAAGCTAGCCTAACTTCTGATTCCCACTGAGATGAGTAAGATGGACTGGATTTATTCTCACACTTGAAACAACCAAAAAAGACCAGCAAAAATGTACAGAATACTAGTTTTCAAAATACTGGACATCAGGCAAGGAAGGTCAGCAATCACCGAAAGGCAGGAAGTAAATAAGGAAGGCCTTATGACTGCTTCAGTTTACTGCCTGGGGAGAGTTTCCAGGCAGCGGCACAAGATAGGAACCAGGCAGAGCCCAGCAGACTTCCTGAGTTGAGGGGCTGAAGCTGAGAGTTCAGAGAGGCCAAATCAGATAGAATTCGCAGCTCACAGTACCGGAGAGGATACGGCCACACAGAGGGAGGACTTTGAAGATCTGCAGAGGACTCTGGCCAACACATACACGTGAGGAATCTTCCCGAGGCCGGAGCAAGAACCCCTGAAAGGATTAGAGGGAGTGACACCCACCACACTCATACTTGTGAGTAACTCATAGGTCAAAGAAGACATCAAAGGGGAATTATGAACTACTGTGAACTGAATGGAAATAAAAATACCATGTATTAAAATTTGTAGAATGACGCTAAAGCAGTACGTATAGGAAAATCTATATCGCTAACCACTTATATTAATAAAGAAGAAAGTTCTCAGATCAATTACTTCCACCTTAAGAAATTAGAAACAGAAAAAGCAAATCAAATCCAAAGTGACCAGAAGAAAGAAAAGGATAAAAATCGGAGTGGCAATCAATAGAAGACAAATCAGAAAAACAATAAGGAAAATCAATAAACTTTTAGTTAGACTGACTAGGTACAAAAAAAAAAAGAAGAAGACACAACTTGTCAATATCAGGAATAAGAAGGTAACATAACTACAGATATTAAGAGAATTATTAGGGAATATTATGAATAATTCCATGCTAATAAATTTGCTTATATGGAATGGACAAATTCCTTGAAAGACATAAACTATTAAAGCTCATTTGAGAAGAAAGAAATAACCTGAATTGCCCTATATCTATTAAAGAAATTGAATTTATAGTTGAAAATCTTCCCACAAACAATCCAAGCCCAATTTGCTTCACTAAAGAATTCCACCAAACATTTAAGGAAGAAACAGAAATTTGACACAAATATTCAGAAAATTGAAGAGGAGGAGATACTTTCCAATTCATTTTATGATGCCAGAACTACCCTTACACAAAATCCAGACAAAGATATTAAATGGTTTTTTAAAACTACCAACCAATATCCCTCATGAACATAGATTCAAAAATTCTAAATGAAATTTTAGCAAATTAAATCCAATAGTATAGAAAAATAGCAATGCATATGCTCAAAGTGAGTTTATCCCGGGAATACAAAGTTGGTTTAATATTAGAAAACTAATCCATGACACTTATCATATTAACAAAGTAAAAAAGAAAAACCATATGTTTATCTTGATAGATAAAACATTCATTCCTGATCAAAACTCTCAACAAACTAGAACTAGAAGGCAGCTTCCTGAACCTGATAAAGGGCATCTATAAAAACCTACAGCTAACATCATACATAATGGTGAAAGATTAAATTTTTTCTCCCTAATATTGAGAAAAAGACAATGATATCTACTTTCATCACTTCTTTTCAACATTGTAATGGAGTTTTTATCCAGTGCAATAGGCAAGAAAAAGAAATAAAGGGCTTTCGGATTATAGGCGAAGAAATAAAACTCTTTTTTCTTAGAAAACATGATTGCTTAGTAGAAAATCTGATAGAATCTAGAAAAAGAGTACTAGAACTAATAAGCATGTTCAGGAAGATTGCAGGATACAAGATGAGCATTAAATATGAATTATATTTCTATATAGTAGCAATGAAAATCAGAAATCTATAGAAAATGACATTTACAATAAGATCAAATAATGTGAAATACTTGGATAAATCTGACAAAAGATGTGTAAGACTTGTGCACTGAAAACTACAAAACATTGCTGAGAGAAATTAGTAAAGACTTAATTAAATGGAGAGATACACCTTATTCATAGATCCAAAGACTCAATATTGTTAAGATGTCAGTTCTCCCCAAATTGAGCTATAGATTTAACATAATTGCAATCACAATATCAGCAGACATGTTTGTACAAATTGACACACTTGTCCCTAAAATCCAAATAGAAATATATAGAATCTTGAATATTGAAAACAACTTTGAAAAAGAACAAAATTGGAGAGCTAGCACTACTTGATTTGTAGTATCATAAAGCTGCAGTGATCAGAACAGTGTGGTATTGGTGTAAAGGTAGAGAAATAGATCAATGGAATAGAATATAGATTCAAGAAGTAGATCCACGCATACATGGACAACTGATTTTTGACAACGATGCAAAGGCAATGGGGAAAGGGTAGTCCTTTCAACAAATGGTAATAGAATGATTGGTGAATCTACATAAAAATATTGAACTTTGATTCATACCTTGCATCATATACATCATATCTATGATCAAAATGGATCATAGACTTAACTGTGAAATCAAACACTATGAAACTTCTAAAAGAAAAACATAAAAGAAAACAAACATTTCTTAGATATGGGATCAAAAGCATGACCCATAAAAGAATACATTGATAAATAGGATTTCACAAAAAATTAAGAACTTAGTTTTGAAAGATACTATTAAGAGAATGAGAAGACAAGCCACAGACCGGGAAAAAACATGTGGAAAGCATATATCTGATAAAAGACCTGCATAGAGACTATACAAATAACTCCTAAGACTTAATAATAAGAAAACAAGCAGCCCAGAAAAATTTGACCAGACACTTCACCGAAGGAAATAGATGGAAAACAAGCATAGGAAAAGAAGCTGAACATCATTAGAGAAATGTAGATTCAAACTGCAATGAAATATCACTACACACCTATAAGAATAACTGAAGTTAGAAAGATTGACCATTTCAAGTATAGGTAAGGGTGTGGAGTAACTAGAAATCTAATACTCTGATAGTGGGAATGAAAAGTGGTGCAACCATTTTGGAAAATAGTTTGGCAGTTTCTTAAAATGTTAAATATGCAGCTACCATATGAGTCATTCCACTGGTAGGTAATATCCTAGAGAAAAAGAAGTATATATTCACACAAAGACATGTATATGAATGTTTATCACAGCTTTATTTGTAATAGCCAAAAACTGGAAACAACACAAATATTCATCAACAGGAGAATGAATAAACAAATTGTGGTATAACCACACAATAGAGTACTACTCAGCAACAAAGTGTGGTAGCTGGGGATGAAGAGGTGCAGGGCAGGGTGGTGGGGAGTGGAATGGAAGGGAGAAAGAGACTGTAAAGGGTGTGAGGAAAATTTTGGGCATGATGGATATGTTCACGGTCTAGATTACGGTGATGGTTGCATGGATATAGACATATGCCAACACTTAAGACATATGTCAAATTAAGGTGTGTATTTTAAATATGTTCATTTATTCATGTGTAAATTTACCTCAATAAAGTGGTTACAAAAATACCTATTTCTTTAAAAATGAAATGTCTGTAAAGCTGAGAATATGACATGAAATCCGATGACAGAAATAAGAGCCAAACATATCTCTTACACTGATAAGTATAATAGGCTTTAACTCACCTATTGAGAGAAAAGGACCCTCAGACTGGTTCATAAAACAAAACTCCAGACATAAAAAGATGAGAAATTGTGTAATAGACAAATTCAAACAGAAAGAAAGCTGAGGTTGCCATTTTATATGAGAAAATATGGAAATTATGTTAAAAAGTACTAAACCAAACAAGGAGGGGTACATAAAGAGTGCAAGTCACAATGAAGCTATGAAACTTTTGAAAACCTAGACCTCAAATAGCACAGCAGGAATATTAATTAATAAAGCAAAAAATTATAGGAGTTGTAAGAAGACATTAACGACAAAATAATCATGGTACAAAACTGTAATTTTATCTTTTCAATTACTGATAGATCAAATGGATGAATAAACAAATGAATAAAGGAGAAAAATTAGTAAACAAATATAACAAAGATCTAAATAACAAATATAAAACAAATTTAATTAATATATTTCAAAGCATGTACTCTGAAAATATAGATTACATCTGTTTTTCAAAATGCTTATTTTATACTCATATAAATATATTTATCATATATTAGGTGCCCAAACTGTGAAAATTCCAAAATGCAGAAATACTTATGGTAATATTCCCTTCTTAAAAAGCAATCAAAGTTGAAATTTATGATATAATTAAAAATTGATTTAAGATTTATATACTTCAATTAAATAGTTTTTAATTTAGATGGAGAACTTTAAAAACAACATTAATGAAAATATTATGCCTTAAAGCCATGGGATACCATAAAAGCAGTCTCAGATAAAAAATTCATACCCCAATAGTTATATCAATAAAAAATTTTAGAAACAAATGGACAAAACATGTCAAAAATGTAGGAAAGAAAAATCAAATGAACAGTTGGAAAGCAGAAGGAATAAATTAATAAAGAAAAATGAAGAAATAAGTTTGGAAACAGAAAAAGCAGAATAAATAAATAAATATAAATTTCAGCCTCATGAAGGATCCAGCTAACAACATGTGACAGAAAGATGAACACATAAATATATGAAATAAAAGGTAGTAAGAAGGGGTATGTAGAAGAATAAAGCAGAGTGGGGGATAGAGAATGAAAGGGGTATTGTTTTAGAGTGTTCAGGAATGGCTTCTGAGCAGAGACCTGAAGGAAGTGAGGAAGCAAGCCAGGTAAACATAGGAGTGGATATTGATTTTTTTAATGCATTAATGTTCTTCCTCTATCTCAAGGTGCCATCTTTACCTGCCCAATGGAACAGCCTCCCTGTGGCCTGTGGACCTGCTGTTTCCAGAGCCTCTAAGGTGTGAGCTGCTTGCATCGCCTTCGCAGAGAGCCAGCAGGTCCTCATTGTAGGAAGTCAGGAGTTCCTTCCCACCATTCCCTAGCCAGGCCACAGGGCCTTGTACTCTGCACCACCAACCATCTCTGAACATCCTTCACAAGGCCTGGAGCACATCACACTGCCTAAGAACCCTCCACTATTGTCCCCTTCCTTCTCTCCTCCAAGCTTAAGCCACCTCCCAACCACGTTTCCATTGCATTTTGTATCCCTTGATAATCTACCTGTTATTTGCACATGTTTCTATCTTCACCTCCACAACTACTTGTCTAGGGGACTCTGCAATGCAGGAACTCTGTCTTGTTCACCTTATCTCCTCTGCCCAGCACATAGATGTTGCTCCACGTCTGCCTGTGGAGCTGAGCTGACTGCGGTCAGGCAGGGGCTGCTCTTTCAGGGCTCTGCATCCATGATTTCACTGTGGGATTCCCCAATTCAGGTCGATCTCCTACTCCTGAAAGAGTTCTTTGTGTCTGGACTTGGGATTTACCAAAGGAGACAGCTGGAGAAAATTGAAATATCCTCTGGCTGAGCCCTGGGCCAGGTCATAGGAAAGGGACCCTAGATTTATGCCTACTACAACTTACTAAGTCATGATAGGCTACCTTATGACCAGTCTTCCTGTTCCAGCAACCCTTATCTTGCTAGGCACAGGTGGCTGAGGTCACTGGCTTTCAGAAGTCGCCCTGAGAGTCTGCATTCATGTTTTCTCTTTGGTGAGGGGCCATAGTAGGTGTGGTAGGGACTTGGTGACTAATTATTACAGTAAAAGGGCTGCTACTCTTAAGTACATAAAACCTTCTGTAGCTGCTGCTGCTGCCAGGGCATCGAGTTCATCATGTTGCTGACCAGTTGGCGTGGCAGGGTGCTGTGCTGGGCTGTTTTCCTCTTGCTCCCTTTGGTCTGTGCTCTCTCCTTGGCCTTGCCATTTCTCTGCTTATCCATCAAATGTTTATTAAGCTCCTACTATGTGCTGGATTCTTGGTCTTACTCTCATGGAGCTTACAGACCAGGCAGAAGGGGAAATACAAAAATCATGGCATCAGTACATTTATGGTGCTACAGAAGCTCATGACCAGTTGAGATCAGTGCTGTGAAAGAAGAAATATGAGGTTCTATGAGAGACTAACAGGGCCACTGAATGGGGACTGGGGGAATAGGGAAGCTTCTCTGGGGAGGTGACAGTTAAGCTGAGATTTGCAAGATGAGGAGTGTGTAGAAGGGGGCTGGATGGGCTGAGCAGGGAGAAGAGCAAGTGCAAGGCCACGAGGAACGGGGGGGGGGGACACCAGTGTGGCTGGAGCCCCCAGGGCCAGGGGAGGAACAGTGCACAGGGAGGCGGAGAGCGGAGCGTGCAGAACCATGGGCCATGAGGCATGTGGAAGCTGTCCTACCTGCAGGAGGACACACTGACGTGATTTATGCAGTGGAGCCACATGAGCAGATTTGCATGTTAGCAGGATTGCTTTGGCTGCAGGCAGGGAAATGGATGGGAGGAGGTGGAGGAGGCAGGAGACCAGGCATAGGATCATACACAGAATGGGAAGACGGTGCCTGGCTGAGTGTGTGTAGGAAACCCTTCCCCAGTGTTCACAGTCAAACCAGCCTTCTAGAATTGGGTTCAGTTTCAGAAGGCCTCCAGTGAACTGGAGACTTCTGAGCTGAGCACGGGCACACCAAGACACGAAGGAGTTCAAGACCAAGTGTAGTGGGATGCCCCAAAGAACCCGGGCTATGGGGCTTGAAGATTCAGAAACCAGAAGCCATCAGAGTGAGGGAGCTGCCCTGTCGCAGAAGCCATGCCGTCCCCAGAGAAGCCCCCAGGTTCCAAGCCAAGGCCCACAAGTAGAGGCTGAAGGTTTCTAGACTTTCTGGAGGAGTTAATAAGACCGATTTCTTTCGCAGGAGCACAGAATCTCCCCCTCCCCAACCCCTTATTTTTATAAAGGCATCAATCATTTGAGTCACTTGGGAATGAAACTGTTTTTGTGCAGAAGATTTCTGTGGGCGCCCAAGTAGGCGTTGGGACGGCTGCTGTCAGGGAATGGGAGAACATATGGTGGTCTGTTGTGAATGTGATCTGTTTTTTGTGTTGTTGTTAAACTTCCTCTTGTTAGCGTTGGGCCAGTTATGTAAGAGCTTGAAGGTCCATATGGTTTGTTGCATAAGACGCCAAAGAGGAACATGGTTTTCTGCTGCCCTGTAGCTTGTCCAATTGTGAATTTGGAAAACACGTGGCCACGTTGTTATATTTGTGCAATGGAGTCAAGTAGTCCTGGACTTATATTAGTTCTACCACTGGTTAGCTATGCGACCTTGGGGAAGTTACCTAACCTCACTGAGATTTAAACTCTCTGAGACTCAATTTCCTTCTGTGCAAAATGGAGGAAATAGTACCAACTTCACAGAGTTGTTAAGAGGATGCAGAATTAATAATGCTGATTACAATCTATTGAGTATCCAAAATTTGCAGTACTGTGTGCTTTATAAGTATTGTTTTGTTTAAACCTCACAGAAATTCTTGGAAATAGCTGTTGTTGTCTTCATGTTTTAGATGAGCAAAGGAGCAAAGTGATGGGATGGCCTCCCTCACCTAATAAGAAGCCACGGAGCTAAGATTCAAACATATGGTCCAGCCAAGAAGAGCCACCAAGATAGCGCCTCACAGCCTCAAGTGTTGGTAAAGTACTAGGCACCTAACAGGTATCCAATAAATGTGGCCCTTGACCATAAGCTCCACTGGGGCAAGACATTTGGACTATTTTGTTTCACTACTGCATTTTAAGCACTGGAAACAGTGCCCGAGGCAGAGTAAGCATTCAGTAATAATTTGGGGGCTAAATACATGGATTTTGCATTTATGGCATAGTTCTCAGCTCTGGAGGTGGGCCTGCTTGGGTTTGCATCTCAGCTCTGCCATTTCCCAGCTGTGACAATAGGCAAGTCAGTCAGCTGGTTCACTTCCTAGCACAGCGTTCTCATTTGTATATCGGGCTCAATGGTAATTCCTTTGCAATAACTATCCCCTTCCCTGTTTTCTTCTGGATACATAGATTGATACTCTGCCCCAGACTTAGTCATCTATACCCTACCCAATTCACAACAGAACAAAACCCCAAGCACAAAACTACAACAACCACCTTACTTGTGCTTTCTGGAGTTCCTGTAAGAACTGATCCTGAGTAATACAAATATATGCCAAGATGAATATGTTGCCTTTATCAGAGGGCTTTGCAAGTACATTCCTGAAACACAGTGATTTAAGCCATGGCATAATTGCCTACTGACAGAATTACAGCCAGCCTCTAGGAAGTCGGTATTGAGAAGGTTCTCAGGTGTTGCCTGGCTCAGTGGAAAAGAAGGCCCTGAGCAACTGGTGACGTCTGCAGGAGAGGGGAAGGGGGTCGCTGGGGCTTGAGCGCCATTCTGGACTAAACGGATCTCCCCATATTTTAGAAATATGAGCAAACTGAGGTCCCGACAGGGAAAAATGACTAATGCAAAATCAAATAACCAGTAGGTTTGAGAAGCAGCATTAGACTCTTGGTTTTCCTGATAGTGCTCTTGCCCTATTCTTCTAGGCTATGGGTTCAGGCCAAGGATTCTCCAAAGGATGGAAAGAGAGAGGAGAATTAGCATGTATGGGGCTGGAGACGCTCTGTTTCATCTTCTTTTACCCTATGAGTCGGGCATCATTACCCCCGTTTTAGGGATAAGACAGTGGAGGCTCACAGAGTGATGTCATTTCCCAATGGCCCCAGAGTCACAGAGGGAAGCCTGACCTGCGTCCTCATCCCTGCGTGTGTGGATTATTTGAACCTGCACTCCAGGGCTACATAGTCATCCTCCCCACAGATTCACAAGTTAAGCATCCCTGCTTTCCCCCCTACAGACCTAGCTGTGAAGCCTCGGGCAAGTGACTTTACTTCTCTGGGCCTTAGTGTTTTCATCTATAAATAAGGACAATCAGCACACATTTTTTTTTATCGAATACTATGAGGATTAAACAAATCCAAGTATGTGAAGTAATGAATGCAGGGCCTGTTCGTAGTAAGTGCTCTTTCCATGTTAGTTTAAGGCAAACAAATCCGACCCAGGCAGCCGCCTTCCAGTGCCCTGAGAACGCAGACGAGCTGGCAGGGCCCACCCAGGGCCCGGGGGCGCAGCCAGACTCGGCCTCCTGGCGTCCTTGCTCCGTGTTTTGGCACAAGGCCCAGGACTGAGGAGTCCCCATTCCTCTCTCCTGTCAACTCAGCAGAACAAGCTGTTTCAAGAGAAGGTGGTTCCCCTTGAGAAATGTTCCCGCACGCCCCGGAGACTCTCGCCCTGCACGTCGCAGGCTGCCGCTGTGATCGGCCCTGACAGGGCCTCAGCCCCACCCTGCACAGCCATCCTGTTCAAAGCCTGCATCCCCCCAAGTCGTAAAAGGTGGTGTGTGGTCTGGACAGCTGCCGTCTCGTCTCATGGCACAGCCCCTGTTCGCTGATGACTTTGAACGAGTGCCTCTCTGTGCCTCAGTTTCAGGCCCTTTAAAATGGGCTGCTAATGAGCTGTCAGCTATTTGGTAGGAAGGTTGGGAGAGACCACTGGCAGGAAGATCCTGCCTCTCCCCTACTTCATTCCCTGTGCCCTCCTCAAATGCCTGCGGTCTGGCCTCTGTCCCGTCCACTGCCAACAAAACCGCTCTGGCCAAGGTCACCATTGTAAATCTAAATGGTGCCCCCTCAGCAGCCGTGGGAGTGCTCTGTCTTTGCACGCTCTGCTCTCTGCCATTGTCCTCTGATTCTCCTCCTTCCTCTCCTTTCATTCTCCTGGGAGAAGTCTCTCCCCTGCCCCAGTCCCTAAATGTTGCAATTTCTCCAAGATTTGGGTCCCCAACCTCCTTTCTCCTCAGCCCACACTCTCTGAGGCTGCCTTTGCCCCTGGCTTCAGGCATCGTCCCCAGTCAGGCCTTAGTGCTCAGCCGCTGTCCTGCAACTCCCTCCTGCACACAGACCATCTCTTCAGCTTCCCTCTGGGCTTCTGGACCTGGCAGTCTGACAGCTCCCTCAAGCTCGGCACTCCCCAAACTGCAGCTGTATACTCCTCATCCTCACCACCCGGCTGTCCCACCGGCAAGCTGAATCTCAGAGAATTGCACCACTATCCGTTCCATAAATGTGCGATGAGCACCTTCCAGGTGCCAGATCCTGTTCTAGAAGCAGAGAGTGCAGCAGGGGACAGAACATAGTCCCTGCTCCTGTGGCATTTACACTCCATCTACCAAGATGTCGAAGGACCTGGGGCTCATGGCAACTCCCTCCTCCCTCACCCTCTTCCTTAGACACCAAGCTTTCTCAATTCTGCTTCCATAACTGAATTGGTTGCCTCTTTCCAGACCTTTCTCACTGCTATGACTTAGTTCAGGCAATTGCTTCCAACGTGGTCTACCAGCCTCCAGTTTTGCTCCTTCCGATCCACTCCCCACTGCAGCCAGAGCCATTTTTTAAAATTGTGAGTTATTTATTTATTTCAGCATATTATGGGGGTACAAAAGTTTAGGTTACATATATTGCCCTTGCCCCTTCCCCTCCCCAGAGCCATTTTTTTTAAAACCCAAATCTTGTTATGCTGCCACCCCAGTCCATCACCTTAAGTATAAAGTCTAAACCACTTAGCTGGGCAGATGTGTATTGATCAGGCAGGGATCTCCAAGCAAAACAGAGTCAGCTAGTGATTAGGCGTCTAAGCATGTGTGTATCTACCCATCTATCTATCAATCAAGAGATTTACTTTAAGGAACTGGCTTCCAGAGCTGTGGGGGTTGGCTGGGCATGTCTGAAATCTGTAGAGGAGTCAGCCACCAGCCAGTTGGAAACTCCTGGGCAGGAGCTGAGCTGCAGTTCACAGGCAGAATTTCTTCTTCTTAGGAAAATCATGGTCTTGCTCTTAAGGCCTATCCATGGATTAGATAAGGCCCAGCCAGATTGCTGTGGATATTCTCCTTTGCTTAAAGTCCACTGATTGTAGATGTTAACTATAAATATATATTTATATATACAAAATACCTTCCTGGCAACACCTGAATTACTGTTTGATTGAACATCTGGGTACTGTAGCTTAGCCAAGCTGATACATAAAACTAGCCATCTCAACAGGGCACTTTGGGACACGATCCATACCCATCTCTCTCACCTCTTTGTCCTCCTCTCTTCCCACCCCACACCAAGGCTTAGTCACCCCTTGCATTGTGTCAGCTGGCCTCCTGCCACCTGTCCTGCACGGGCCTAGGGTCTTCCCCACCCCTTCCTAGAGAACTCTCATCTGTCTCTGAAACCACTAAGGTGCTTCCTTCTTGGGAGGCCTCCTCGCCTCACCCCTGCCCAGGCCCTACTGCTCTGAGTCAAGTGCCATGCCTCTGGGTTTGCAAAGCCCTCACGCCACTACCCACATGAGATGTAACCTCCCTGCTGGCTGCGAGACCTGCCCCAGTAGTATGTGAACAGCTCTCAGACAAGAACTTTCTATCACATCGATCTGTTAAGTCCCACCTGACGCAAGTCTCAATCAGCAGCAATGATCTTATTGATAATACTAGTGTATAAATCCCCCTCCCCCACTAGAATGAGAGCTCCATGGTGGTAGGAACCATATCTGTCTCGTTCAGTGCAGTGCCTAACTGTGCCTGGCACATAGTAGATGTTCAATAAATGTTTATTGAGCAAATGGATTGATATTTGTTTGAATGGATTCAACAATAAGTATTAAGAACCTCCTAAGTTCTAGGAGCCTGGAAATATAATTATCAAGAGGGACAAGGGCTTGTTGTCATGGCGCTTATATCCCAAGGAGGGAGACAGCAACCAAGTAAACGCATAAATAATCAGGATGGGGAAAACAAAAAGTATAATATGACTGACTGAATGAATGAAGGGATGAATGCATAAATGAATGGTTGGAAATATATATATATATATATATATATATATATATATATCTTCTTCAAGGGGAAGCTCCACATTGGGAGAGGGTGGGAAGTGGTATGAACAACGGATTTGGAGCGGGAATCCAAAAGGTTTGACTCGGCTCTTTACCGGTGGTGTGCGTCTGGCTGAGTATTCTAGCCCTGTAGTATCTCAGTTCTTTCATTCCCGATATAGGATTGCGGTAACTGCTTTGTTTTTTGCACAAGGGTGTCGTATCGCATGAGACAAGCAAACGTAAAAGAACTCAGTGACTCTAAAGCTCTGTACAAATGTTAAAGGTCATTGTTGATATTGCAATTGTTGCAAACAGAGCACTTTAGCTCCACAAGTTAATTGCATTGTTTAGTTGGAGAGAAGCAGAAAGGAATTTTGGCATGAGACAGACCTGGGTTTCAGTTCCCTTTCAGCCACTTAATGGTGAGTTGTGTGACCTTGAACATGACTTCTTTCATCCTTCTAGGCCTTGGTTTCCTGATCTGTGAAAATGGGGTGAACGCTTGTACCCACCTCATAAGGCCACAGGCAACAGTCAGGTTTTAACAAGATAATCCATGTCAAGTGCTTGGCATCGGGTTAAGCCCATATTAGCTCAGCTAATATTAGCTACTAATAGTCATTCTGTCAATCATAGGTGCCTGTTCGTAAATGGAGCCATTCATGGTTCAATTTCTCAAGTCTCACTTTTCTGCCAGGAAACTTCCCAAGTCTTTATGCACCAACACCTGTGATTATGCAAAACCACAATCAGTGTTCATATTCAGAACATAAACAAACGAAGACTTTGCCGTTCACTACTCTCCCTACCAACTTTTCAAAAAATATATTCTGGAACATAGAGAGAGAGAGAGAAACTCTTCATTTCTGTAGAAAACAAATGTTCCTGGGTTTATGATCACATAACCCTGAAACTGTTGTGTTTTTTCATGTAATGCATTTTAGAAGTTCCATAAAGGAGTCGTTGTCAAGAGAAACCACAGCTGGTGCCCAATTAGAGAGGTGATCGAGACTGATCGGCCAGCAGCACTCTTAATTAAGCTGGACCACAAACTGCAGGAGAAACGGCAGGTGGGGAACGGAGGTGGCCCACACACTCACGCAAAGGCAATGAATGAGACGGGTGGAAGACTTTCTTCTGAAGGCAAAAAGTTGGTCACTTCTGTTACATGTGAATTTATGCTTTTTAAAAGCTGGCTCTGCAGAGGCTGACTTCTGGTTTTGCCTCACTGCAAACCTCTGTCTCTTCCCTTTCCATGACCTCTATTTAGGTATCAGCCCCTAACTTATCTGTCATCACTGGGCCCTGGGAAGGTTCTGTAAGTGGAGGGGAGACCCTCCAGGGACCACCTGTCTGCACTTCTGTCCTGCACTGCTGTCTTCGGATAGCGGTGACCCTCCACTAACCCCACTGTGGCTCATTCTTGCCCATTGCTGCTGCCTTCTTTGCCCCCTGTCCCTACTGTGCGCTCTAGAATCTCTGTACCATGCTGAATATTCTCCACTTAACATCTCACCGCTGTACGTGCCTCGGTCTTTGTATCTTAAGTGGAACCTGTATCCCTTGCTCTCTCCACGGAGATGGTTTGTTTTTCCATATTCCACACACCTCAGGGCCAAGAAGCAGGACTGAGCTTCTCTTCTGTCCCTTAGTGCTACCTATACCTTAATCCACTAACCTCCTGTGACACATACACATACATACACACACACACACACCCCGGCTGCCAGGCAGTTGGCGGCCACACTTGGAAAGAGGTGCTGTACCTGCTGTGAACTGAGTAGACCGCACGTGTGTCTGTTTGTGAGGCAGTGTGAAGTGGAACAGAAGTTCTCCAAGTATAGCCTGGGACCAGCAGCTCAATGATCACCTGGGGACTTCTTAGAAATGGAAATTCACCCCAGACCTACCGAATCAGAAACTCTAGGGGAGGCACCCAACATTCTGCTTTAACAAACCCTCCACCCCACCTCCCCCCTGCAAGTCTAATGGTTACCCACCTTGGAAAAGAGCTGGTCTAGCAGTTAAGAGTACGGGCTCTAAAGCCAGTTTACCTGAGTTCAGTCCACATCTCACTTGGGACACCTGCTCACGATGTAACCTTGGCCAAGTTACATAACTCCTCTGTGCTTCTTTTTCCTTCTATGTAAGGTGGGAGTAAAAATGATACGTCCCTATGGGGCATCATGAGAGAACTGAAGTAGCCAAACATGAATGGGGTCTAGAACAGTGCCTAGCACGTAATAAGCTCTTGCAAATTGTTAACTATCGTCATTATTAGCATCCCCAGTCCTCCTGGCTGCCGTTCCCAATGTCATTTAGATGGCTCTTCCACATCTAGTGCTCCTCCCACTCCCCACTGTGGAGGCACGTGGGCCTCCAAATAGCCTTCTTTGGGGTCTTGTGTTTTATGTTTCCACATTTGACTATTAAAAAAATGTTATTTACCAACCTCATATCCTGATAAAATTTACACCCCAGGAAGCGGCAATATGCTTAACCAGGGGCTTGCCATTTCCTGCCACAGACGCCCTCTATCCCCAGCAACAGAAGCATGGCCCCATCTGCCGTACCTTTGACCTCCTCAGCCTCAGGGACCTTGGCCTTTACGCCACACCAGTGGCCACACTCAAGAGCCACACCTGGCTCTTATCTTGGCTGGCTACTGCTCTGCCCTGAAATTTCCAACAGCAGGGACCACTGTCTGACCCCTCCCGCTTATCTTTCCAGAACTCTCCTCACACTGGCTCTTTGACCTCCTGAATTCCAGGCTCTGGATCCTTCCCTCCTCGCCTTCCAGCCGTTAAGAACTTCTTGGCTTCTCAGACTCACAATTTTCCCCACTTCTCCCTGCCTCACTAATGGAAGAACATAGAACACGAGCAAAAAATAAAACTTTGTGTCTGTCGCCACTTAGGGTGGTTTTTTTTTCCTTTTTTTTTTTGTTCCTGCAGCACGTCTGGCTCCTCCTGCCCGAGACACTTGCCTCCTGGGTGGATGTGAAAATGAAAGAGGTTGTGTAAATAGAGAACTAAGCCTAGTGCCCGGGCCATCATAACTTCTCCAGAAACATCAGCTGTTACTCTGCCCATTCTCCTGGCTATGTGAGCAGTTGACACACAGTGAAAGGCCTGCATACTTCCCCCACCTCCAGACAGGTTTCCCTGGAACCCTGACAGACAGACAGACAGTGATGTTTCTCCTCTCCAGACAGCATCCCCAGCCGCCGCCGCTGACTCAGCCTCCCCGCCCTCCCCAAGGGTGCGGCAGGAAGGCCGCCCCTGGCATTGAAGTTGCAGGTGGCACCAGGGGTAAAGTCACAGGCATCTGCAGATAGGAGACTTGATTTTTCCCCAGGCCCTGGAACATGCACAGCTCTCCATTTTCTACCTGTCCACCAGCCCCCAACTTCCAGCTCCAAACCCAGACAACAACCGCTTCCCTCTGCAGGAAATTGGGCTGCAAAGTCCTTGGTGGCACAGCGGGCTCCAGCTGAAAGGGCCTTCAGGACTGGCTGACATCCGTTTGAGAAAGAGGACTGCCCACTCGTTCAAGGAAGGCCCTGGGGTTCTGTCTGCAGCATGAAAGAGCTGAGCGACTCACATCCATAGTGTCTTCCTCATTTAGCCGGCATGCACGGCACCCTGGGCCCACTATAGTTTAGGTCAAAGAAAATGTTTTAGTATAGAATAGTAATATATTTGCTCTTATATCAATGCAGTCGTAACATATAATTATAGATATGTACACACACACACACACACACACACACACACACATACACACATGCAGATACAGGCTTTTCTGGAAAAAGGAGTCCATGAAGGCATAAGTGTTTAGGGACCTCGAAAATCACACTCAGCCCTATTCATATGACCTCTCTGGATCTCAATTTTCTCTGTATAATGTAGATCATAATACTTTCCACACCATTCCACCTCTAGTTCCACCAGTGTTCTGCCTGACCATCACTGAGCTTACCATTTCCAGATTCTCAAAGTTTGGAAGGCTCCCCGTGTATACAATACACAACATCTAGATTCCTCGGTGTGGCCTTTGAGGCTTTCACTGTTTTCCACTTTGAACTTCTGCCACTTCTAGCTAAGGACCCCGTGCCTCACACTGACCGAGTTCCAGCTGCCTTCCACTCTCAGGCCCTTTGGCTTCGAAAGCATTCTGTTCCCTTCTCTGCCTACTGGTCCCCTACTCACGGCACAGCTACCAAGTCTGCAGGGTCCAATGCAGGGCCCCTTTCTCAAAAATGGTTAAGAACTTCAAGATGGCAAAAGAGAGCATTCAGCCGCATACGGGCCTCTTCTAAGCTCAGGGCCCGGTGGGTCTGCACAGGTCACGCACCTATGAAGCCAGCCCTGTCTGCTCCTTTTCTGAGGTCAGCTCAAATCTCACCTGCTTTCTGTGCTTAATCCCCAACACAAACAATAGGAAGTCACAAAATGAAGTACTTATGTTCCAGGCACCACGCCAAGCACTTTATAGCCAAGGTTGCTTTAAATCTTCACAGCTATCCCGAGAAGTTGGAAGTATTATGGTTCCCATTTTGCAGATGGGGAAACTGAGGCTCAGGAAGCAGGTGGCTGAGTTGGCATTTAATCCAAGGGTCACCTGAGTCCAGAGCATGCTCTTTCCTACCAGGCTGTCCCAACCCTTCTGACACCACAGCCTGTCAATCTTGCCTCTGCCCTCTAATTTCTGAAGGCCCTAGGCCTTGTCCTGCTCTTTCAGTCTACAGGCATCCACCCCCTCACACCTCTGGTCCTCCAATACCCCACGGTGGCCTTCTTCCCAGCCCAGTGTACTTCAGGTTTCCCAGGAGACGTGTGTTGCTTTGAAACACCTTCTCCTGTGGACACCTGGGAATTATTGGTCAACCTCCCGACATTCCCTTGTGCCCCCAAGTCCAGTCCATTTGGTCTCCTTAAGGTCTCTTGAGCCCCATGCCTCACCCCCAGTGCCAGTGTTAGCTGAGGTCTCCTTATACTCTGCTAGACCTCAGTGTCCCCCTCGCTAGCCCATCTCTCTCGCGCCCCACTCTGACACACCGCAGCCACTCTGCCTTTTAAAAACCGCAGTCCTGACCATATCATCTCTTCTTAAAATCCTTGTGTGCTCTCCACTGCCCTCAGGTCCTTTGCCTGGCGCACAAGACCCTGCCTACCCCTCGACTGGAAGCCTTTTGCATGATCATCATTAATTAATTATCTAAAATTCTCAGAAGGAGTCATGCTTTGTCATGCTCCCGTGACTATGCACATGATGTTCTCCTACCTGGAATCCCTTCCCAGAGCTCTTGGAAAACTCCTCCTAATAAGTCAAGGCTCATTTAACATCACCTCCTAGAGGAAGCCTTTCATAATTCCTGCCCCTTCCAAAGGCTGAGGTCAGGGCTTCTGTTCTGAGCTCCTGTAACTCCCCAAGCTCACCTCGGGCCCAACACACTGTGTTTACCCCACTGGTCTCAGAGCCCTTTGAAGGTAGGGATGACATCTAGTTCACCTCTGCATCACCAGCCTCTGGCATTGGACCTCTTTAGAAGCACACAGTAGGTATTTTCTGAGTAAAGTCTATAATGAATGATAATTAGGCCAAGATGCCTCTCACCTTGTTTACCCGTTTGGCATCAGGGACCCAACTGACACATCCTGGACACAGCTACCTCTCTGCAGCGGGCAGAGACAAGTATTAGAGAAGGGCTGCAGCGGGCACCAGGGAAAAGCAAGGTGGGTGCATTGGTTACCTGACGTGCCCGGAGATTCTGAGAGGAGACTTACATTTCCCACAGAGGGGAGATGGGTGAGCGTATTTCAAAAATGAAGCATATAGGGTTTTTAAAATAAGACATCAATTCCAGCAGAAAGAATAAGTCATACAAAAGCAAAAATTTAACCATAATCCGAAATGGCTCAGCTGTGATTTACGTGGTCACGATACTATAAACACTAAACTAACCAAAAATCATGCTAGAACTAGAAAGGAAAGTCGAGGAATGTGAAGTGGCTGTGTGAGAGCCAAGTCCTTCTCTTCCATAACAGGAAGTAAATAGGGCATACCTCAAAATGCAAAATGAAGAAAGAGATGTTTAAACATAGCATTTAGAAACACGGAGTTACATATTGGGAGAAATATAGAATGGTGGCTGTCTCCATGCAGTAAGTTTTGGGGGTGGAGGGGAATGGGCTTTATATGAATAGAGCTATCTGACTTTTTGAGCTATGTTTGTGATGTCGGTAAAACACACACATGATTTTTAAAATGCTGCCTGTGGTTTGAAGGCAGGAAACAGTTGCAAGGCAAGCACCTCTGGCCCATCGGTCTGACTAATCTCCCGGAAGCACACCTTGGGCAGCTCATCAGAGCCCTCTCAGACCCAGAGCTGCACTGGGCAGGGCCACCTCGCTCTGCCCTCGTTGACCGGCCCCACCCTCCCATGCACACACCCTGCACGCCTCCCTCGTCTCCTGCAGAAGCTCTACCTCCTCCCTCGGGGCTTTTGCTGGGCAGTGCTCCCTGCCTCCCTGCTCACACCCGGAGCCCCCTCCCGCACTAAGGCTGCCCGGGACAAATGTGCTTGCTTTTCCCCCAGGACAGCTCTGCAGGCACGTGAGGGGGATTTTGTATGCTAGGCCTACCCTCCCCTGGGCCTTTATGTCCCTGCTCCCAAGAATGGAGCCAGAAGCCCCAGGGAGCTACGTCATAGGCCCACTTCTTCCACGCCGCCACAGAGGGACCTCTCTGAGACTGTATCCTCATCTGGAAAATCAAGATCTGCAGGCCTACTTGCCAGGAAGCTCGTGAAAGAGCTCCAGTTAACCACCCCATTTCCAGTTCTCTCGTCACTGGACACTTCCTGCCCAACAGCAGCAGCAAGTGCAGCCAGAGGTGACATTCATAGACCGTGTGCAGTGTGGTCGGCACTGCCCTAAGCCACGCCCTACCTCATTCACCTGGAACAGTGAGTAGCATTATTCCTATTTCACAGGTGAGGAAATAGGCTCACAGAGGGCAACTTGCAGGCGAATCTACACGTCCATCCTCCTCCCCTTTAGACTACAAGCAGTTCAAAGACAGGGAGAAATGTTCACCATGTTCACCACAGCGTCATTCACAACAAAGGTGAAAGAAAGCCCAGTGTCTGCTGATGGATGAATAGGCAAACAACTTCTAGTACATTATGTGCAATGGGCATTATTCAGCCTCAGAAAAGACGGGAATTCACACACATGCTACACATGGATGAGCCTTGAGGACATTATGCTAAGTGAAATATGTCTCAGAAGGACAAATAATGTATAATTCCACCTATACAAGGTACCCAGAGTAGTCAAATTTAGAGACAGAAAGTAGCATGGCGGTTGTTCAGGGGCTGAGGGGAGCGCAATGAGGAGTTAGTGTTTAATGGGTCCAAAGTTTCATTTTAGGAAAATAAGAAAGTTCTGGAGATGGACGGTGGTGATGGTTGTACAACAATGTGAAGGTACTCATTGCCACTGAACTGTAAACTGAAAAATGGTTAAAATAGTAAATTTTATGTTGTATATATTTTACCATAATAAAATAATTCTTTTAAAATGTAGTTAGAGACAGAAAGCAGAATAGAGGTTAGCAGGGACTGCAAAGAGGGGAGAAGTGTGAGCTATTATCTCATGGGCACGGAATTTTTGCTCGGGATGATGAAAAAGTTTGGGGTATACATATTGCTAATGGTCACACAATATTGTAAATGTATGTAATGCCCCTGTATTGGACACTCACGAGCAGTTAAAATGATAAATATTATGTTACAATGTTTTACCACAATTTTTAAAATAGGCAGGAAGACCTTGTGCCCCTTTGATTTCTCAGGACCCAGAGTCTCAAGCAGGGTCTGGCGTGCAGTAAGTGCTTAAGAGCATTTGTCAGTTTGGGTAGGCTTCTGCAGAAGGCTGCCCACAGAAAGGAGCAGAAGCCTGCAGCCGGGGAGAGAAGGAACAAGACCAGGCTTCCCATCCTGGCTCACTTCTGCGGCTAGTTCTACTTCTCCATCGTCAAATGTTCCATGGGCATGTGGAATCTACCAGAACACAGACTCAACTGTAATCACGTAAAGAGCAGCTATTAATTGCTAGACTTTTTACATGCATAGAATAATATTAATAGCTAACAATTATTGAGTGCAGTCATTACCTGGGAGAGATTGGTTCCAGAACCCTTAAAGGTACCAAAATCTGAGGATACTCAAGTCCCTGACATATTAACAAAATGGTACAGTGTTTGCATATAACCTGTGTATATCCTCCCATATACTTTAAATCATCTCTAGGTGACCTAACATAATGCCTACACATCACTTCACTGGCAAGGATTCAACA